AAAGCTAAGGATCTAAAAAACAGAGTGCAATTTCTAATGAGATCCCTTCTTTTCCTGCAAAAGATGATTTGAATGCTTCACCAGAAGATCTGCCCCCCAATCCTGTTAAAGGATGTCTGGAACTTTCTGGGTATGCTTTTACTGAAAATCCAATAATTTAGACATATGATGCCTAACTGCATGGGGATATTCCTAGTTCTATTGTAATGGCCTTGGCTGCTCCAGGTGAGTCTCAATTTTCGGCAGCTACTCTGGAAAATAGCCAGTAGTGATGGCTTTAAAGATGGTAATTTTCTCTAATAGTTTCTGGCAGAAGAGAATCTTGGCAGAGAAAAAGGCAGTTTTGAATTGAATAATTCAATTGAAAACCTAAATATTTAGTTTGGAGATGTTTTTGATGGTTGAGTTTTCTCTTGTGGAAAGGAAATGTCATTTTCAGAAGCCAACTCCAGAAGCTTATATGATGCAAATAGCAAATGGAAAGCACCAGATTGGGCTCCACATTATGAAGTCTGTGTTGCTTGCAATTGATTGTAGAAATACGCTACCCAAAACTATTTGTCTATAAATAAATTATGGACGGGCACAAGATGATGTTCTTCAGAAGCACAACTATGTCAGTGGGAAGTTTGATCACGACACACAAAATTTCAGTGGGGTCTATTGAATTGGAATAGCAAACGATGTCATTCCTAATGATGGTACAAACGATGAGATAACGCTGCCTATACATTCCTTGGTTGTATTAGAATGTAGATATGGCGAGAGAAGCCCAATGTGGAGACCTCTATACCTGGGAAAGGCAGAATGACAATGACTCTAGTCCTTTGGATCTATGAATGCCAGAAGATGAAGCCCCTTGTCTCACAATCAATGAGCACCCCACATATTGGTTGTTATCTTCACTTGTTACAGATGACAGTGTACCTAGAGAACAGGTCCATTTTCAATGGCATTCTAGTCAGTTTATTTCTTCCATCAAAAAGAAAGGCCAAATCATATAGGCCTCGCAAAAAAGTAAAAAGTGGCACTAGGTGTTGTGGTCACCCACATTTTTTGTTCACCAATGACAAACTAGCCTTTTGAGATGCCTCTTTGGCTGAAACAAATAATCAAAATTATCTTGAGAGACTCTCAACAAGTGTTATGGCCAAGGATTAATTCATGCAAATTTGATTATACAGGAGTTAACTGGATGAGGTTGGTAGCCACCTTAGCAGGATTATTACCCAGTAGCTACAAAGATCCCCCCTCTGATATCCAGTCGACCATCCTTGTAGCAAACATATCCAGTCGACCGTCCTTGCAGCAAACGCCTGCACGTCAAATTTTAGAAAAGCGAATCTCTTGGCTCCTATGGAGTCATATTAGTTGGGACAAAATGGTCACTTAGTCATGTCAATGGAACTAGGAACTATGCTGGTAGAACCAATCAGGTCACTGAGGACTTGATCGAGGTCAACCCAACCTGATGCCTAATTAGGTTGCGGTTTCAGGTACAAAACTGCTTGTGAGAGATTCAAGGTCAGACTCGAAAGACCCGATGGGCTACATAATTGATCCCATCAAGTATATTGAATTGGTCGGGTTTGTAACTTTTGATTTCTAGCCCCAAGTTTGGACTCCACCTTAAAACACGTTTCAAGCACAATTACGAGAAGTGATTCGTTTTTGACAAAGCAGTGAAAACAGCGATTGACTGCCCCAGTGCTATACTTCCTGCACCTAAATTGTGCTCGCCATTGTGTGTAGCAGAAGATTAGGCAAACCTCTTTTTGACAAAAAAACATTAAGCCCCCTGCAAAGTGACAAAAATAACAAAATGCATGAACTAGGATGCGACTACGTAAACTTGCCCCATAAAGCGTGACAAAAACTTCGGTATGTGTAAAGTGTGATTGTCGATCTCCCATTAATGTTTGTTTTTATATTCTGTATCAACCCTCTCTCCTAATAAAGAGTAACTTTCTTTCCACAAAAAAAGCTATTCACTTTCTGTCTATATGTGGCACTCATCTCTCATTTATGTGGCACTCATCTCTCATTAATCCATCCTATTATTCTCATCCCTTTCCAGTTTTCCATTTAACCTTCTCTACAAACTCTAAACACAAGCGATCTGATGCTTAGTGTATTATTATTACTGTGACATTATCATAAACAAATTCTGTCAGGATGTTATCATTAGGGTTCTTTTTGTCAGATATTTCTTGGAATTTTATTCACATGGAATAAGTATACATTCACTATTATTTAGCAATTTCTCTAAAATCTAGCCCTATTTGAATACTTTCTTAGATACTGATTTATTATTTTTTTAAGTTTATAATTCTAAGTTATTTTTAAGGTCCTTCCAAATTTTTAGTGTTCAAGAATGATAAGAACTCCATTGCAACTTAAGAAAAAGTCTGCGTTTTAATTATGTTTTTACAGAACTTATTTTTCAATCTGCTGTCTTTTTTTTTTTGGGTAAATAATCTGCTGTCTGTTATTATCGTATATGAGATTTTAATCGAAATAATATTGGGCAGGCCCACACTATGGCGATAAATTCATTTTATCGTGATAATATCTGAGATAATATTGGCACTTGATATTCTCAAAAGAAAATCACAGTAAAATCAAATTAACGCCAATAATGTAAAAGAATTCTATGTATGATAGTTACATACTTAATAGATACATTCTTTCCTACTAATTTTAGCAGATAAACTAAATCCAAGAAACTCTTGTTCTATTTAGCATGTAATAATATAATATAGAAGGTGCACCCTAAAAATCCAATCCCTCCTGCTTTCCTTAATAAAAGATCATTTATTTAATTGGAGATATACCGTAAGCTCCACTTTTATGTTTTTCAAAAATTCTTTTTATCTTTATTTGTTCTTTGACACAGATAAAAACTATGATGTGCAATGATTGTACAACTGCATAGGCAATGAATATAAAGTTATAATTTTAAATTTTAATTTATATGATTGACTCTCTTATTTTCTATGGTTTATCTTAAAATTGTATTTGTTACCATTTATTCCCGGTTAGGGTCATGTTTTGCATTTTGTTTATAAGACCCAGGAGCTCATGGAGTCAGGTCGAGATTTCTGGATGACAAACAGTGAACATACTCCAATCTAAAGGAAAAATTATGATGTCATAAATATGGCCATAATAACAAGGATGACCACAGTCCAATCAGTGTGTTGGAACATGGAGAGAGAGTGGGAACATACAATGCTATAAATGACAGTTTGGTGGGACCCATTTCCTCCATAGCCATCCAATCCATTATGAGATGGTGATAACCTCATGGCACGCCATTATGATGATCATATGGAAAATCTAAAGAGAAAGGGGAGTTGGGAATTAGAAGACTGAAGGACAAGAATAACGCATTATCAAGCAAATTGCATTGGACATTTGGGGAGGACTCAGGGCACTGAAGAAGGGATATAAAAGGCAAGTACAGTCAGTATGAGTGAGAGGTGAGGATTCAAGATATGTTACCAAGGTCTTAAAGGTGCCTCGTAGTATCACAGATACCATCAATAGGGGTATTTGGCTTAGGACTAAAATGGTTTGAGTGTGCCTTTTACATTAGAAGGTGGTTCCTCAAGATCTGCCACTGGGGTGAATTAGAAGGGGAGAAACATTATCAATTTTAGCGATAATAATGAGAAGAGTATAAGACAGATATGGGGTACAAGGGAAGAAGATATGATATTATAACAAAAACCTGTCGAATCAGTAAGCCCATAATCTTGAGACCGGAAATACAATGATTCAAGTGGCATATAAGGTTCAAGAAAATTGGCAGTTTCTCCTTATTGTTGCACCTTTCCAACCCCGATCTACATTTAGCAGGAGGTGTCTTCAGAGATGGAGTGCCATTTAAGGCTTTCTCTTACCTACTAGGCTAATATAACTCTACCACTAGCGAGATCCCTATTGACAGGGTTAGCGTCAGTCTCTCAAGACTATCTAAACCACTAACAACAGAAGGTGATTCGTGACACTAGCCTTCAGTTTCTAGAGGTTAATGGAGACACTTTAAAGATTTGCAAGTGATTGACCGCATCCTTTCACCACCTTCTTAGGGATATCAATGAGATTGCTGATCCTTTGGAAAAAGGTGGATCAAAGCGGATGTGACCTTTGAGGATCTTATCCCACACCTTGTTGTATGTAACTATGTATTTGGTTCACACTTCTCGGCATCTATACTTCATGCACGTGCTCTGTCTCATTATGTAAATACTCCCCTTATATCGAATGAAATTTTTTTGCTACCGATTAAAAACAGTCTAAAAATAAAGGAAAACAAGAAAATCTCAATGTCTGCATTTTATGGTTGCATGATCATGCACATGTTCAAGTGTTCTCACTTCTTAAGCATGATGTTTACATGTTGGCATGCATATATGCTGATGTGATGGAGCAGGCACCAAGCTATCTACATTTATAAATCTGTCAAGGCATTAAACTAAAATTGTGGCTACGCTCTTGATGAATTGAAAGTCCTTGAAATGTTAATTGGTTTGTAAAAGTAAAAGCAGTTTTAACTTCGGAGACGGAACCTTACATTGACTCACATACAAACAAAAAGAACAAATAAAACCTTCTATTTGCACACACGCCATGAAACTCCACTTCCTATTTATGTAAAATAGATATGCAAAACAACCTACTCTTTTATGTTTCTGCAATCCACTTAAACTTTTTGGAAATGGATTAACAAGTAATTCTAACAAGTTATAAATGAGGCACAAAATGGATACAATACTTAGTATATTCATTTTCCTTATCTGCCTAAAATCATTAGATTTTAGTCCAATCCTTTTTTTCCTACAGATAAAAGATCTGATCATTGGCACAAAGCCTAACAATGGATAGTTTATAGGTCAAAACCTGCCTCAGGACACAATGACTATGATCCTCATTCCTCACAATTGTGAGAAAATAACACAAAAAATAAAAATAAAAATAAGTTACCAGTTGGCTACCTTGTTTACCAATAATCCCTGCAAGAACACAAACCATCCTTGAAATGATGAAATCTCTTGGCATCTCTCACAATGAGCTCCCTTCCAACAAGTTTTGATACTATCTTCAATGCACTGTGGCAATCTCCACAAATCCTAAGGTTCTTAATTATACGAATTGGAGAACAAGCTGGGCTACTAAGGAGACCATAAGCAATAGCAAGCCTCTCACTGTGATAAAGCAAAGCTTCCTCCTTTGATTCCTGGTCCACATCATGGAGCACAAAACGAGTGTCTGGTACATAACCAGCTTCCTTCATTTGCCCACTCAAACCCTTCAATTGAGCATAAATCTTGTCCTTCTCAGGGTGGGAAGTGTCCCCCGCTCTATACTCATGAACCCTGCTCCTTACCTCTCTAAGGCTTTCTGCACTACTTTTCTTCACCTCCCTTTCCTTTGCTTCAACTTTAATGGGCAAAAGACCCTTTTTTGACTGTTCGTTAAGCCTAGACGGATCCAATAGTTCGACATATTTAGCACACACATCCCCCATTTCTTGGTCACCATGAACTCTACTTAGATTCATTAATCTCTCCCATACATCTACACTAGGTTCAATTGGAATGTTCTCAATGAATTCTAGTGCTTCATTAAGGTAACCCGATTTTCCAAACAAATCAACCATGCCCACATAATGGTCCATGTTGGGTGTAATTCCAAAGTCTCTACTCATTGTTTCCAAATGCAAAAGCCCCTCATCTACTGCTCCCAAGAAACCACAAGCCAAGAAAACCCCAAGAAACATTTGGCCATCAGGCTTTAAACCTGCCAATTTAAAACGAGTAAACAAATCTATGGCCTCCTCTCCCAATAGGTTATTTGCATACCCATGTATCATGGTGTCCCATGATGTCAAGTTTCTTTGAGGCATTTTCTCAAATAATTGATATGCATCATCCATAGCCCCACATTTTGAATACATTTCCAGAATCTGATTATAAACTCTCACTTCAATTCTTGAATTGCTAGACCTTTCTATGTGCCCATGAACAGCTTTGCCTTCCTCTATAGACTTATAATCACCACATGCCTTCAAAAGCCTCAGATAACATCCACTATCCACAAAAACTCCCCGTTTTTCCATTAACCCCAAAACTTCTAGAGCTTCTTTGAGCTTACCATCTTTCATAAAAGCATCCAGCTCCTCTATAGTACCGTTTGGCCCTGTATCTTGGGCCTGCTCTATTGCTTCTTGATCAGATTTAACAGGACCAACATTGTTAAAACCCCCCATTTCTCTGTAAAAATCATTAGGGTATTGCTGAAAATCTCTTGGGCTCTCTCTGGAACTATGAGTTTGAGTTTGATAGGCTGTTCTTGCAGCTGCTGTGGAAAGGTATCTAATCAAAGTGGTGGGCTTTGTAGAAAATGATGGTATTTGTGCAGAGTCTGTAAGCTTCGAGAGAGAAGCCCGATGGTGGGCGGGACTTACCTGTGAGAAAGACGCCATGGCTCTTAGAGAGAGAAGAGTGGCCCTTTTGGACATGATACCCAAAAAAAACTTGCCTTTTGCTTAGAAAATGCAAGAGCAGTGGAGGTAGGAGAGAAGAAGACCGATGAGAGATTGGGGCTGAAAAAACAAAACCAAACTGTTTAGCAAACAAAGCTTCACTTTCCTGGAGAGAGAGCGCTGTTTAGCAAACAAAACCTCTCTTTCCTATAGACAGAGGGAAACCATGAAGCGAAGACGATACGGACTAGGGTTTTAGGCTCAAGGCGTCGGGCTCTATAAAATGAAACTTGTGAGCTAATTTTTTGACGTGTACGTATAGCACATCCCGCGGGTTTACATTGTTCATTTGCTCCTCAAATGGAAGTCTTGCCCATTTGGAAGGTTCTATTTAGACAAAAGATTTCATGCTCATGCAGTCTGTCTATTTTTTACTCCTAATGTCTATTTTTTACTCCCTGAAACCTTATATAAGATTAATTTTAGGACCCTAAATTTTTAGGACCCTAAATTTTTTGGATGCGATTTCTTTATTCCGACTAACCTCAATAAAAAAAATTCATTATTATACCCTCTATGCAAATATGTTTCAAGATTAAAAAGAAACATTCTAACTTTTAGAGGGTAAGAACTAAGTGTTAAGTGGTAGAAAACTCAAAATTTAATTTCTTTTTTTTTATTTAGGATAATCATCTAATGATTCTCAGGTGGTTTTCAAAAAAAATTATATGGAAGAAAAACCTCTCCAAATAGGTCTTATCTTATGACTTGCAGGAGTAGATGTATACTATAGTATGCATGCTCTTTTATTTATCTCAAGTTTTTTTTGGGATCCACCTTGAAATCTTGAGATGGGTCTTTTCAAATAAAAAAATTTGCATTTTGGGTCTCTAAGCACTTAGATCTAACCGTCCAACCCTTAAAATAGAACCTTTATATATGTGACTATATTTATTAGTCATATGATCTTGAATGGGCACAATCATCGTACTACAAGTTAGCCTTTAAAAGTCTTATCTTGATAAGATGGCACAAAGTATTTGAAGTTTAATCTTTTTTTACAAATCATTTAGAGATGAAATTTGGGGCATCCCTCCTCCTTATTGGGGAACACATAATGAAAACAAGATAAAATACTTTTGATAATAAATTTATCAAAGGGTGCAGTTTGTATAGAGCAGAGGCTCTAAACAATTAAAGTAAAGCATACCTTCAAATAGTGTCGAGAAATGTGGTTTTAATATTGAATCTTTGTAATAGCTTTAAAATATATATTTATCTTTAATTATAAAATATAAAGCTTCAAAAATAGTGTAGATTGAGTAGATTTATGAAAACTTGAAGATCCTGAAAATTGACGTTCAAAAAATGCGTTACAAGATGCACTATTTCCAAAACTTGAAATCTATGTTTTTCTGATGTCCATGCATCTTGATGTCGTGATGATCAATTTGAGAATATTTGAGAATAAAAACAACCTCTTCTAATGAAATTTTTGAGGTGGGCTCTAATTTGATGGTTTAGAGCCTAAGCGATACATAAACTTTTCCCTTCAAAATGCCCATGCAACATATAAAAGTGGTTAAAAAGATGAATATAAATTATAACACGTAGTTTTTTATGATTCAAATCCATATTTTCCATATTAATCCGTATTCATATGATGCCTTCAACCATTTAGAATTTAACTATTTGGCTCAGGACCAAGATCAAACAGACTACATTAGGGGTTTGTCCATTGAAGTACAGTTGTGAAGAAGTGCAATCTCATGGAATGAAAATCGATCCCATTGAATCGGATGCATGGGGCATTAGAATACTAGAAGTGCTCCATACAAAGTTCTGTACTTGTCTAAGCAGGATTACCAAGATTCTGATTTCAGACAGCTAGTTTCCCTTCATATGAACCTGCAAAACCTTCAATGAATGCATTATGGCCCTCAAGTGACATCCAGTTTTCATAGATTTTAATGAACAAGTTCTATTTAAGACTTGTGTCCGCCATTCTTCCAAATTATACTCATTTTCGAATTGTTCTGAACGTGTTTAGATTTTGAGAACCAGTCCCTTTAAGCAATACTTATCTAGACTTGCGGATTTAGATTTTAGGATTACAAAAGACATCCAAATACGATTATGAGGTGATCTATTATGGAGGTGGAGGATGTTTGGGTTATGGTAGTAAATCATTGTTGATGCTCCAAGGGCACTTTTCTATTCATTTCATCAATGGGACAGTTTTTATCTGTACTTCCAGTGACTTATTTATAAGAAAGGTATTCAAAAAGATTATTTACTTTTAGTACAAGGTGGTCGTCACAATCGCTCTTATCTTTCAAGTTTTAAATTAGGCAGTTATAATGACATCCCAAGCTATTAAATTTGATATCTAATGGTTAGAAGTGATTTGTAACCTCCTTGTAACAAGAGTGAAAACTAAAAAATTTCATTAGTATAATTTATAAGTGGAGTTGAGGGCCATGGAAACCCCAATTATTTCTCTTTTAAAAAGGCTTCCTCTAGTGGGCTTCCTTCTATAGGGTTTTTCTCTTCCTTCTATTGGGCTTGATACAATTTTTACGCAGGCAAGTCTCCTCAACAAGATGTAATTTGGGACGGGCGTAAGCCAAAAATTGTGGTATATTTCCAGGTTTGGCTTGGCCAAAACCAAAAAATCTGGGCCGTGCTTATCCAAGTGTGGCCAGAGCCCTGCATGTTTCTTGAAAATCTATTTTTTCTCACTCCCTGCAAGAGTGCTATGTTTTTTTGAAAATCTCTCTTCTCCTAAGTTTGAAAGTATAATCAGTTTTAATCTTTTTGGATCCTAGGATTTCATAATTACTCTTATTTTTTAGATTTCAAATCGAGCAGTTATGAACATATGCTATTGATTAAACTCAAAGATTAAAAAAAAAAAAAATTTAAACTTAATGATACACCCCAAGTCATCTAATTTAATATCTAATGGCTATGAGTAGTTGTTACCTCTTATAAAAAAAAAGATAAATAGTCTCATAATATACAATCCTGTTTTTTATTATTAACATATAAATTTATACCTTTTTCGTTCAAGCATGTTTCTTAGATATAAAAAAAAATGATTACTACTAATAGGTCCATCCAACAAAACCGAGGACCAAAGAAGTCCTAAGAATAGTTACACAATCTCCTCCGAAAGAAAGATAAAACCAAAACATAAAAGCCCTACTTAGGACAGATAATGGACAAGCTTGGTTTAGATTTTCTTACTTATGAAAACATGTTCGACTTTGTTTTCTAGAGATGTGTTTTGCATATGTTAATCCATAAGTGCAATTAGAGAGAGAGAAGAATTGGAGAGAAAGATGAATTAGCTGGAGAAAGTGCAATTAGAAACAGAAATTCTTTTTCTTCCTCTTTTTTTTTGTTTTTTTGTAAATGAACATTAGCTAGAGAATCCACTTCCTTACTAACCTCCATGAAGCAATTATTCAAACCAATGTTATATTGAGAAATTATGTCTCTTATTTCAGCAAGTTTAAGAAGGGTGAAGATTTTCAATGTTCCCTTAACCCATCCCACACCTGGATAAAAGGGCAGAGTTGTGTTATGTAGACAACCAATGTAAAACTTTATCAAAAACTTATCAAGATTTTTCATTTCATCAAGAATGGGTTATAACTTCAACGGGGCTCTCACTTACCCTTTAAACAATCGCGTTAGCATAATTTCCTAAAATTTTTGGCTCATTAAAACATGAAAGTAATCTTAGAACTTGTTGTAGGTCCCTGACATCCACTTCGGTAGTTATAATCTCACCACATGGACCTGAAAAAAAAAAGTAAAATGATTCCTCTATAATCTCTAATTAAGCCACCAATTTCTACAAGGTCAGGTCCCTAATGAACTCCCATAAAAAATGAGTTTAATTGAATTAGCCGACACCAATTAGAGTTTGAACATACTCTTTGAGCCCCACCAATTCTCTAAATTTGATTGGTGTGTGTCTTTGAGTGTTCTTCTATTTCTTTCTCTCCAAATATTCCACAGTATGGCTGCCATTAGAGATTTTCACAAAACCCTTCCAATATCTGAAATGCATTGGGTTGAGTGGAGTTGTCCTAAGCCCAAGCCCAAAGAAAAGAAAGCCCAAGTCCAAGACCAGTCAATTGGAACTCATTGTTAATAGTGATAATATCCGCCCCTCACCGCAAAAGGCACGTAGACACCCAAAAGCACGAGGCCAAAAGATTTCGTGCTCTTATGGGAGTAAACTGTATATTTACTCCCCTGGGTAAATCTCATTTCTAGAACTTCAAATTTTGGGGATGCAACCTCTTGAAGCTACAGACTAACCTCAATTAAAAAAATTCTCCAAATCTCATCCCCTATGCACTTAAAATAAATAATGTCTTAAGATTGAGCGACAACGGCCCAGTTTTTAAAGATTGGGATCTCAAGTTTAAAGACCTAAAAATTCAAACTTTTGCTTTTTAAAATAATCATTCAATAACTTTAAGTTATGACATACCATCATGTCATATTATCCTTGAGATTCTCACCCATCCGATACCTGCATCTTATCCCAAAAATTATGAATAGCTATACTGGAAAATCCCAAACTTTAATGCAAATCATTAAAATTTGAAAATTTCCAAAATTTAATGGAAATAAATTAGTCAAAATTTTATTATTATTTTTGAAATACAAGTAAAGAATTTATAGAAAGAGCGGGGTTTTAGGTTTCCAAAAATTTTAGAACAAAAAAAATCCTCCCAAGTAGATCTTCTAACCGAAAGAGTAGGTGTACATGAGCATAGTGTATACGCTAACAATCAATCAAAAACTTAAAAAACATAATCCACATCAAGTCGTAATCATGTCCATCCAATGAAACTGTGGATGGTGATATAAAGGATAAGACCCAATTCAAATTCTAGGTCCAACTCTCTTTAACACCACCACTACCACCACCACCATTTAATTGGTGGGTGGTGATCCCTATGCACCATTGTTTTACACTTGGTGTTGGATTATACGGCAATCGTACACTTGGATAGAAGCTCTTATCCAAACCCATGGTTAGGGGCAGCAAAGGCCGCATGTCAAACATGCACTGGAAACGCTTTTCCCTCTTCATGGAATTGCCTACTTTGAGCATGGCCCTCTTCTTATATAAATGAGAAATCTCTCTCCCTCAATAACACAAATTAAAAACACTCACTAAACCTCAAGCCTCTTTACTTTGTTTTATTTATTTATTTATATTGAAGTTGACTCTTTGCCTTGATATCCACAACAAACATGGAGAGGCTCTCTCTTTCATGTGTCCTGCTTCTCCTTCTAGTAATTTATGCTTCTTGCATATTGTATACCATATCAAAGAGCTTTTTACTCTTTGCCCCCATATTGTACTTCCTCAATATGGCCAGAAGCTTTTCGCATCCAAGAAAAACCTTGCGAAAGTTGGAATTCCTTTTTTTAACAATATCGATGCACACTCTTCTCAGTGTTGAAACTCAGTTCTTGTTAACACTCGGCCTTAGGAACTCGAAGCTTTTGTAGAATGTTTTTCTCCTAGTACTACTACGTAGTCTTTTCTCACATCTTGTTGTATGGTACCTGCAGGGAAGGCTGAACCAGTACTACGTAATGGCGACACCGGAGACGTATTGGGCAGATGCATTCCCCAACACTCCGATCCCTGATGTCATTCATGCCCGCCTTCATCCGGTACCGTCAGGACTGCAGCATGCAATTTCAGATAACCGAGATCCGCGCTTCATGTATGACAAATTCTCAAAGAAGCATCGTGGTCCTAATGAAACAACCCTCTTCTTGGAGGAGGATCTCAAAGTAGGAATGAAGAAGCTTTTCCACTTTTATAAGTCCGACTTCAACAATGCCTCTCCTTTCCTTTCTCGTGAAGTTGCAGACACTGTGCCTTTCTCGTCTGCTGAGATCCCACACATCTTACAGCATTTCATGTTGCCTCCGGCCTCTAGTGAGGCTTATGAAGTGCGTGGTACCCTGTCCTTGTGCGAGTCTTTGGAAGCCAAGGACAAGTGCCTCACTTCTTTAGAGGCCATGATTGACTATACCACCCCAACTTCCATGGACCATAACATTACCATGCTCCACACTAACATTGAAGCACCTTCTGTGCTCCTAGCATACACTGTGAAGAAACTGGTGAGAAAGGCTACAAAGCCCAACTCAGCTGTGTGCCATAATATGCCTTATCCTTATGCTGTCTACCTTTGCCACTACATTGGAGAAGGAAGAATCTACCAGGTGAGCTATGAAGGGGAAGATGGGAGCATGGTGGAAGGGATTGTATCATGCCATGAAAACCTTAAGAATTGGAGCATGCCCGTTTGGTATCAAGCTCTCCCTGCAGGCGTGAAGAAGGCGGACCACATGCTTGCTTGCCATACCTTGCCTGACACCCACATTGTATGGGCTTCTGATTAAGTCAACATAATTTGAGAATGAAGCATTCAATAAAATTTTGAGAATGAAATAGAAGTAACTCATCCCACTTTTGTTTTTGTTGGCATGATACTGATGCATGCAGGGTCTTTTACTGAAGTATGACTAGCATTGCTTTACTCAATTTGGTTCTTAGTTTCTTTTTCCTCTGGTTTCTTATTTTGTTGGGTTTGATTGGCTTTTAATTGGGACAAACTAAAGGACTCAAGCCCCTAAATGAAGTGGCTAGACTAAAAGCTACTCAAATGTGTTTTCCACTGAGATATTGTTGGTATTGGATTCTTCTTCCTTCAGGAAAAAGGAAGAAAAGTGTTATTAGCACATTGTGCCAATTAGACACTTTTATCTAGCATCATGCATGTGTCGTAAAGTGGGACGCGAAGAATCCCTTAGCGACAGAATAAACTGCGAAACCTGCAAGTCCTGTAAGGACTGGTGTGGAATAGCTCTCTCTCCTGGCATGTAAGTTTTTAAGACCCACAAAACTATATGAATGAGTTGGGCACCTTCAGCCCTGATTAAGCGACAGGCATCGCTGGTACAACATCACACATGCTGCACACAAATGTAGGCTAGTGTAGGCTAGTGGCTAAAGACCCTTGGTATGAAACCTTGGACAAATGGTGCGAACATATGGCTACAATGGTGGGATTTGGTGGACCACCAGGACTACCAAGCTGAAGCTTGGTTGGTTACAGCATGGCCAGCCTAGCGGGACTTGGGTATGGTCCCATATGGCTACAATGGTGGGACTTGGTGGACCACCAAGACTACCAAGCTGAAGCTTGGTTGGTTACAGCATGGGTAGCCTAGCGGGACATGGGTATGGACCATGCACAAGAGGCAGCTGACCATGCACCTAGCTTTACAGTGTGTTGACCGTATTAGTCAGGTGTGGGATTTGAATTTAAAATGTATAATTTCCTAGGCACGGGCTTTTGTAACTGCCACCAGCCAAATGAGAAAGGATGAGCCCGCCACCAGCCAAATGAGAACCAAATGAGAAAGGATGAGCCCGCCACTAGCCAAATGAGAAAGGATGAGCCCACATGTTGCGGGCTAAGTGAGCATAATGAGCCATGTAAGGGCCATACATAGTATATATGTATATATATACATATATACACCATTTATGCATATTAAAAAATTTACTTGTATGGTAATCAAGTATGTATGCAAGTATATGCGCTTGAACACTGAAAAACACATTGAAATCGTTGAATCACATTCACCGTGGCAATAAAATCAGTTTTCACTCAGTAATGTAAGATTATATAACATATCCATAAAGAACTCAAATACCGAATGGAAGATTTATCATATACTTTTTCAATCCAGGCCATTGTGGCCCTTTTTACTCAAGAAAGGCGCAAATCAACTCTTTTTTTTTTTTTGAGGGGGGTGGGGAGGGAGGGTGGAATGGGGTAGGGTCAGAATAAACCCCGAATCGCCTCCCCGCAAAAAAAAACCTGAAGAGAGAAAAAATGACAAATATGCCCCTTGCCCGAGGGGAATTTCTGCCTCAGGCAAGGGGCCAAGTAGACAAGCAGCCACTGCCCCGAAAGGGCCACCCAGGTGGCTGGTAGGAAGGCCAGCTGCTTTTGTATCTATAGCCAACCCCAACTTACTCATCCAAAGAAAGAGAAACTATCTTAATTTACAACAGAGATATAAAAGTCCACTTAAACTCTTAAATCCCTGCAATAATATTGTATAGTTGTTAATCAACAAATTGAAGAGAGAAGTAATGGAACTAGCCATCAACATGGAAACAAATTTAAATCACCAGTAATCTCCACAAGAGCACCGCCCATCTTTGAAGTGGTGAAACCTCTTGTTATCCCTGAGGATGATTTCTCTATCTACGATCTTCGAAACGATCTTGAACCAATTATGGCAATCTCCGCACACTCGAAGATTCTTGATGATTCTCAATGTGCTCCCTTTAGGAGTGCTAATAAGCCCATAAGCAAGAGCCAACCTCTCACTATGATAAAGCAATGCTTGCTCCTTTGCTTCCTCATCTATGTCATGGAGAACATATCTTGTATCTGGTTTATACCCAGCTTCTCTAACTTGACCACTCAATCCCTTCAGCTTCTCATAAGCTTCACTCTTTGGTGGAATTGGGTTCTCTTTCGCTTTGTTCTTGGTTCCAGTAATCTGGTTTCCTTCAGAGTCTGCGCTAGAATTTGATGGGCTCAATTGATTTAAGTGTTTGCTCCCATCAATTTCTCTTTCTAGGTTGTCATATCTCAAGCTTCGTTCAGGCCCTGATCCAGTATTCGATGGATTCAAGCATTTGGCTGCTCGTTTTTCTCTCTCTAGATCACCATGGATCTTAGAAAACTTCAGCAGCGTTTGCCATATCAGAGCACTAGGCTTCATTGGCATTTTCTTGATGAAATCTTCAGCTTCTTCAAACCTCTTTGATCTAGAGAGAAGATCAACTATAGCCACATAGTGATCCATCCATGGAGATATTGCATATTCCTTTTTCATAGAATCAAAATGAACCAGACCTTCCTCCACTGCTGATAAGCTTATACAAGCTGATAAAACCCCACGAAAAGTGTGACCATCGGGTGCCAATCCTCTCTCTCTCATCTGAGAAAACAAGTTCAATGCCTCTTCTCCTTGATTGTTCTTCGCAAAACCCATTATCAAAGTGTTCCAAGAAATTAAGTTCCTTTCAGGCATTTCATCAAACACTGTTTGAGCATCAATCATGGACCTACTCTTACTGTACATTTCCATCAATTTGTTGAAGATTGAAATACTGGGTTTATATGAAGACCTCAGAATATGCTCATGGAGCATCTTCCCTTCCTTTAATGACTTTGTATCTGCGCAGGCTTGCAAAAGAGAAAGATGGGTACTTGAATTCACATGAATTCCTTGCCTTTCCATGCCTTCAAGATATTCAATGGCTTCTCTAACCTTTCTCTCTCTACACAATTTGATCAAATCTGAGGTCGATTTTCTCGCAGTTTGAAGATCAGCTGCTTCTTTCTGAAACACGTGAAGACCAATCCGAGAACTTCTTGATCTCGGTTGCAAGTGAGAGATTCTCTCTGAACTTCCCGAAATGGAAGAAAGAGAAAGATGTTCGAAACTATGGCTCAGAGAGAAGGGTTTTGGCACGCCATTACAGCGACTGAAACAGATAGGATGAAAGGAAGAAGCAGGCAATGACCAGGAAGAGTGTGAATTAGGGTCTCCCGGCCTGAAAAGAGAGGCAAATTTTGAAAAAGTAGCCGTTGAGGCGCCATGAATCATGGTTATAGAGCGTATTTTCAGATGGAAAATCAGACTGGTTTTCTAGAGCGAGGAAAGGGTGATTCTCAGACGAAGCTTTTGAGGCTTAGAGAGAGAGAGATTTATTCGGTTCACTGTCTTCGGAGAAAAATATCCTCTTATCCATAGCGCCAGATACAGCGAAAAACAAGAAACAAGTAGAAGAGTTACCAGAATACCCCTGATAATAAAAGGGCCGGACCAAAATACCCCTTAGTCTAAGAAAATTTTGGAAAATCACGTATGCTCCCTTGGAAGCCTAATATATTTTCTTTCAAAAAATATACACCCGATTACTTTAAATCGGATAGTGATTGACTAAGCTCAATGGTCAAAAATAAAATTTTCAAACTTAATAACACAGCCGTCAAATTCGACATAAGTAACTAGAATTACTTCCTTGATAAGAAGGCCTTCCTGGCATAATTTCTTTTAAATCTTAAATTTTGGGACCCATCTAGGAATAACTAATCAATGATTATTTTTATAATCAAGGAAATATTGGGATTGTATACAATGATACCATTTACATACCAAATCACAATTACTTATAACCATCCGATGTAAAATCCGATAGCTTATGTAGACAGGAAGATCACAACTACTTATAACCATCCGATGTAAAATCTGATAGCTTGATCGATGAAATAAATGCAGCCATCCAATTTCACATCCAATTGTCAAGATTAATTGTGACCACCTTGTACCAAAGGTAAATAATCTCATTATATGCTTTTTCAAAAATATTTTTATTGAGGAGAATCCATATGTTGAAAAAGTTACATCCCCAAAATTTAAGGTCCTAATATTAGTTGGGAAAGCTTTCTATGTTACCCCTACAACGTAAAAGTTCTATGCTCCCTTTACCATCCAGACATCTATTTTTTATCAAGAGAGCCACTCACCGTTTGATCATAGATCCGACGTTTCAAAGTATTTTATTTTTAGTTTTTTTAATACAATTTTTTCTGAATATGATATTTGGTATGTGTCATCTTCTCATTGGGACGCACCCATAAAAATATCAACAATACTTTTTCGATAAAAAATAATGACCAAAATACCCCTTAAAACTTTCAAGTGTATTTTGATCATTTATTTTATTGAAAATATTTTTTTTATATATTTTTCATTAGTGCGAGTTTAATAAAAAAATGGACGTCCAAATTTTGGTGTCAAAATAGTTTATAGAAAAATATTTAAAAATAAAATAATATAGAAATGTGACATTGGAGCAATCTTAACCCTTCATTAAAAAATGGAGGGTTTGAAAAGGAAGAGGATAGAACGTCTAGAGGGAACTTCTAAGTTGTAGGAAAACATGTAAAGCTTTCCCCATATTAATTATAACCTTATAGGTGGGGTTTTACCTACTAATGGACAATATACTCCCATTATAACCTTGTAGGTGGGGTTTTACCTACTAATGGACAATATACTCCCACAAAAGTATAAATATGTTTTGGCATTTTGAAAAGCACTATACACCAAAGGCATTTGTACCATTATTCTCAATAATAGGTGGGTGAGATTAACTGCGATTAGCGATGATGGACATTCACCTAGGTATGCTTTGATCACCACAATTGGCCATCAAGAAGAATGGACAGTCCATACACGAGTGGATTGTCATGTAAAATACAATGGTGGTGTGTGGTTAGCTACTTTGCCCTTAATTCGTGAGTTCAATGTCAATTAGAAAACGGTGAAAGAAATTTACATATAAATCCTATTTTATTTTTGATATATAAAAATAGTTTTCATATGTCACATTTTATAATTAAGTATCCTTTTATATTTCATATTTTACAACTAAGTGTAATTTTTTAGAACATAAAATGTAATTTAATTTTATCCTTTTTTTTTATACCTAGATTAAGCCCACATTTGGTATGTTAGTACGTTTATCCGTCATATACCTATAATTATTTTTAAAACAATTAAAAATAAAATTACCAACTACCCAACACCATTTAGGGATAGTTTGGTAAATTTATTTATTTTCATTCATTAAGATGAGAAGTATGGACTTACCAAATTAAACTTAATACAATATATAAAACAAGAGATAAAATTAAAACACACGTCTTCTTCATAAAAAATGGACTTGATTGTTAAATATAAAATATAATAGACTATTTTGATGGATGCCAAAATTCTCAAAATCATAATTATTACAATGTAAGATGAATTTGAAAAAATGAATTGGAGTCAGTAGCCTTCGAAGATTTATGCTAGACTGTCCATGTAATTGACATTAGACCCAAACCTTTTTTCGTTTTGGAAATTATCTTTAATGGTGAATCAAAGATCATCATAGGCAAAGCTTTTTCCAACTAATTGAGGAACGGTGAATCAAAGATGATTGGAGTAAATTCCTAATCGCACAAATCGGCCAGTGGGTAATGTGCATGTAGCCCTATAGAAACTTTAGTTCCTCTGAGTTCCACTGAACTATCTCCTGGCAAAAGGAACTATTATGTACAAAAAATCACTTGAAATGATCATCTTTATATTTAATAATACACAACAATGCGATAAATAGGCAATAATCAACATTTTTATCATACAATTTCACGTTCATTAATTGTGGGATATGCTGAGAATTTTCGCCCATAACCTGCAAAAAGCCATCTAATTCTATGTATCCTATTAACTGATACATTTCACATTGTCTAAAGTTCTATTGTTCACAATGGCCAAGTCTAAACTTGAATGAGGCTGAAGAGAGAGCTGAAAAACTTCAGAGAATTCCTTTAACAAAGACGCATGAACAATATCAAAAAGCTCGTGAGGATCTATAGCTTCTCCTACGAGCTCTGCAACACTGCCAACCTTACGGTCTGTTATACCACACGGCACTATATGATTAAATGGGGCAAGGTCATTTATAACATTCAGTGCAAGTCCATGATATGTTATCCACTTGGAGACACGTATCCCGATGGCCGCTATCTTCTGGTCGCCTAAAGAGTAAACAGCAGATTAAAAGTCTCACACCCAAACTCTGCTAAGACAAATGCATTACATAGGTAATGTATGAAGAGCCATGAATGATTGGTTTTTCTTCTCTAACACCAACAGCCATAAATATTTGTTGTTAAAAAATATAACAAGAACATTATTAGATTTAAATAAAAAAGATATCTTCTTGAATCATTTGAATTCCCCAAATTACTTATATTTTTCTGCATTGTTTTGAAGAAGTAATTTAAATTTAGAAATAAAAACAGCTTTAAAGAAACTTTTAAGTAGGTTTCAATTTTTCTTTATGTTCCTTTCTCTTTGCAATTTTACCCTTATTTTATTTTCTACAAGGTTTTCTAAGAATTACCCCAAAAAACTCAGTCATAAAAATCTGCCAAACAATAGTCACATGGCCAACAAATCCAGAGCATAAAATATGGTGAAATATTAACGCTAATATATCCATTCCAAATGAATAGTGACGGGGTGTATTTTTCCTTGCGTAAGATAGGGGTCCATTTTTTGCTTTACAGGGAGGTATAGATTTCTGATGAAAGGAAATTATGGGATAAAAGTGCAGTCGCAAAGAAATCTCCAATAAAGCACTAGATGTCAGACTATAATTTCTTCAACAGAAAACTACCAGCTAGAAATTAATACTAGATCATATAGGCATGGGTATCTGGATAAGTCTTGAGAGGCATGACCAGGAAGGACCTGCATTCTACTTGTGAGTATTGAGCTAATGAATTCATCACAGGAACAAGGTTCTTACAACTTGGTTTAATAGATCCAAAAAAGAGAAGCTTTAGAAAACGCAGTAATGGAAGTTTAAGACAATAGGGAGATGCAAGCCACTCAAGACAATGTCAGGATAAAAACCAAAAAATTAGTGAACCAATAAGGAGATAATTGGGAATGAATTGAGGTCAATAATATTCAAAACTACTATACAGTCCAAAATGACCCAACACAATAAAACACAGTGGGTGATTATTTCAAGTAGAGACTAGAAAAAGCATAAAAAAGTATGATCGACTCAAGGCATCTCTCAAGAGTGAACCAATTGACTCAGCTTAATAATTCCCGAGGAAAACACAAGGAAAATCAGGTTAACAATACCTGTAATTCCAGGCACAATTTCAACGAGTATGTTAAATGAAGTCTTAAGAACTTCGAAAAAACGACTGTTTTTACCTTTGTGCCTTGTTGAGCCATGACAGATTCAAGGCTTCTAGCTACCTCAGAACAAGCCCACGTGTTTGTGTGTATGTGTGTAAAAGACAGAGAGAGAGAGAGAGAGAGAGAGAGAGAGAATCGCACCAACCCAAACTCCAGTCAAGCCCTCAATTCGTGAAGCATTTATGAAAAAGCAGGATGCGAGAACTCGAATAACAACCTCCTCAAGTGACCGAAGGTACCAATGGAGATCCATTTTGTGATATCGTAGGTTAATAATAGGATAAATGACAAGCTACGAAACAAAACCAAACATCAGCGAACAGTTGAAAATTAACAAAAAATGAAAAATAGCTAAAAAGTCTCATATCAACATCGCCATTACAGTTGTATAATAACAACAACAATGATAGTATAAACATGCTTGCACAAATTTTTTACTCCCTTAGCAATTTTATCCTCCATAATTTGCTCAATGAATGAGCCTAGTTCACATAAATGGGGATTCTCTAGCATAAAAACCATGGAGTCTATGCGAGCTCTAGAGCAGAGCACCATATACAATAGAGAAAGGAAAACAAGATAAATCAGGAACATGGCATATATCAAACTTAAATGGCATCTGGGCAATTGAATTTGCAGTTTTGCAACAAAAGTACGGAAAGATTCCATATAGAATTGGGAGAAATATACCATAACCAAAAGGACTACAGAGTAACATAACCACCATCCAATGAAATGATGGATGATGATGGACTGTGGGGGGGGGAGGGAGAGAGAGAGAGAGAGAGAGAGAGAGTAGGACAAACGAGAACAGAAAATGACCCCAATGGTGGGTCTTACTTTCTCTCCATGACTATCCATTTTATCAGACAGTGATGATCCCCATGGTCTATGGCTTTCAATAACCCACTAAATTACAGTATAGCTCCCCTAGAACTTAACCTATCTTAAGAAAATTAAGCATAATACACAATCAAATGCTCACCTGCCCTGGACCATGATATGTGACCTCCCCCCCTCGTTCAGTTCGATAGACATCATAGGGAGGATCTTGTATATCAAAATTCAGGAACTTCTCTGAACTACTTGTGCCCAATGTGTACACAGGAGGGTGTTGTAGAATGATTGCAATGTCAGAATCATCTTCATTACGGTCCATCATAACCAGTTTCTTTTCCAGCATGGACTTTTGCAATAGCCATGCTTCTCTATAAGGAATAAGTTCTTTATAAAGATCATAGCATGCGCACCTTTGGATCCAAACCACCAAAAAAATTACTCTTCATGTTAAAAGGATCATATTTATGTCATAAAATAGACAACCATTAGTCCCGCAAGAGCCAACAGTAACCTAACCAGAAAAGAGTTTGCTCCTCTTCTGGTTCTCGATAGCAGCCAATAGGGGAAACTAGTTTAGAAAGAGTAATCTCATCTAAGGGATAATATGCTAAAAACCATAAAAAGTAAAAAATGGAAAATAACAAAACCAATGGGCAATGGAAAACAACTGTGGTGCATTCGAGTCAGCCAATAAATGGCCGAGATCAACATCATCATCATCATCCAAGCCTTACCCAAATGATTTGGGGACGGATGGCCGATATCAATAATTTAAATTAAAATTCATTAGAATTTAATTCAGTGAAAACTTTTTCTTCAGGAACTGACCAATCAGCCAAGCAATGAGATTTTGTCATACATTCTCAGAAAAATATTTGTTATTGATGCTTTCCTGTAAGCTTAGCGCTATAATGAATTTCCTACATGTGATGGTTTTCTTTCTTGTTTTAAGCTTTTCTTCAAATACTTTTCAAGTATATCAGAGTTTTAACCAATCTCATGGAGATGAATTACAAACACAACCTCTGGATTGCTTTATCAATCTTCATTCAATAGAATTCATCTCCAGACAATAATAATAACAGTAATAACCACCTAGATGAAAAATGTTACTCCAATTTATCAATGCTATTTCTCTTAGCTTCATATTTTTTCCATGAAATGAAAAACAGAAAACAACACGTTCAAAAGGAAAAAAAAAAAAACAGAGAATCAAGGTTTTGGAGCAGAGAGAAAGAAAAAGGGGAAGACCCATGAAGTAGGAGCATTCTAAATGCAATAAAAAGCTTAGGACTGCATCTCTTTTAACTACCATCGAAATGTCTGGTTTTTTTACGACAAGGAAAATTGATTATAAGAATATATATATAAAAAAAAAAAAACACTTTGATCTAATAGGATGAAACCCAATTCACATGGAGGTGAAAAAAAAGAAGAAAAGAACGATCACCTGTTCTGCTGTAATTTCTCATTAATCTAACAATTTCAATTATACATTCGCAATTTTAAGTTTCAGAATAAAAAGGAGTATCAATACAAGAAAAAAATACCTCCTTTTTCCATGATTGCTTTTGACAGTAGCTCCTTTGATTTTCAAACTGGAAGCCCTAAACCAATTCTTCGAACGCTCGTAAGAAGGACATGTTACAGTAAAGGTGGCGTTCCCCAAAATCATGTTGATTTCTTAGTGCTCATCAAATATCAAAGTGAATTATAACAGAAACTTGCGAAAATTCAATTTTGGGGAAAGATCCATCCGTTTTCTTCATAATTAAAATTTAAAAATACAGTGTCCTTCTCATGTGACAAATGCCGTCCTCGTCAAAAGAGAGATGGAATTTGCCCCAAAAAACGTTACTTCTTAAGAATTTCACCACCATTTTGAATAACAGGTGCAGGAGGGCTGCAACGGGCCGGGCCAGGGCTGGCCTTAGGGCTGCCCTATTCCTATGAGGGTCGGGCCGTGCCCACCCCTATTCCCATGAGGGTCGGGCCACGCTGGGTAAAATGAAGAAAAAAAATGTAAAAAATAAAATAAAAGGTCGTGCTTGTCTTGACCTGGGCCAGACCCGGCCCTCGTGCCACATTTTGTTACCCAAGCCCTAGTATTTTTAGGGCCGGGCTGGGTGGCGGCCACCCAGCCATTGTCACCCCTAGGGCAGGGGCACGTTTGGATGTATTGGTTGTTATCGATAACTCACTACTTTAATAAAGTCAATTTCAATTATTAGTTATTCATTATTTAAAAGTGTCCATCATAAAGTTATTTGAGATAAACTTATAGGTCTTTTTACATATGAAAATATATACAATAAGTTCATTTGCCATTTGTACAAATATGTCATAATGATTCTAGTCTCTTAGATTTGAAGTTAGAAGGCGAAGAATATTTCATTTATCCAGCTCAAAGTCAACAAAAAAAAAAAACAACCAACTTTATAACGTACTCTAAGTTGTCGGGCTCGATATTTGATGGCTTGGATTATTTTTGACCTCTTTGTTCCACGGATAAAGGGTCTTATAGTATACAATCTTTTTATATATAAGTTTATCGTTTCAAAAAACTATATTTACTTTGCTCACACTAATTTACTTAATATCACATACTTTTTTGGCTAGATATAGCTAAACATAACTGAAAATCATCGAAAAAGTTAAATAATTAAAAAACATTGTACATAATATACGTATCAGATAGCTAACAAGATAATATTTTTTTGAATATATTAATTTTAGATAAGATAGTCTATTCCAGATAAACTTAATTATTAACTAAACATGCCCTGAAAGTAGATGATTCTAGGGCTGGCAATCGTCCAGGCAGCCCAGCACTAAAGAACTAAGGCCTAGGCCACAAAATACGAGTCAAAGGTTGGGCCACGACTAGACTGCCACGAGCCCAAGGCCAAACCTAGACCAAGCAGTTATGGGGGGTTTGCTTCGTTTGGATCCAATCCTTTTTTTTCTTTATTTTTTAGTTTTCTTTTATTGTATTTAATAGGGCTGGGGTCACAACCTCTACTATCAGGTTTGGGCTTAGCCAGGCCCGGGTCCCGCCCATTGCCCAGCCTAATTCTAAACTTTGTTATAGACAATATACTGCTTTTTTGTTTTTTATTTCCCAAGGCATCAAATCTGCACTATTTTTCAAGCTAACAATTATTCATATAAAGTTGAAATGCAGTCAGCGTAACGTAGAACTTTTGGGAAGGACAGAGGACTTCCTTTAAATAAGGAAAAAGTTTATATAAATGTGAAGCTCTAAACAATCAAATTAAGACGTACCTCAACAATTCATTAGAAAATGTTGTTTTGATGTTGAAAAACCTTCAATTCTATCATCTCGACCTCAATATGCATGGATATAAGAAAAATAGATTTCAAGTCTTGAAAATAATGCATCTTGTTATGTATTATCTAGACCTTCAATTTTCGAGATTTTTCAAGTATTCATAGATCTGCTCGATCTACACTATTTTTTAACTTAAAATATATTATTAGATATTGAAAATAAAATTCCAGGCCATCATACAAATTTACGATACTGAAACAACATATTTCAATACTATTTTAAGGTGCACACTACTTTGATTGTTTAGGGCCAGCGCCTTATTCAAACCACACCCTAATAAGACCTCATTTAAAATTTTAAAATTTTAAACGTTTAATTGCATCGGTCCCTATATAGAGCCAATTGCATGAACATCTAAAAGAAAAGTATTTTGTAGGTTGCCGCCTTATGGATTTGCATCTCAAATCTCATCGATGAATGCAGTTCCAAAAAACCTACAAATCAATCATTCTGAGCTCAATAATAAAATTAAATGTTCAAGCCCTAAATTTTTTTATCTTGTAACACTTTTCAAGGAGAATTTTCAAGTATTTATATATATTATATAAATACTATTTTTAGAGTTTTAAAATTTATGGTAAGGGATCCTATACTTTTTTACATACTTATAACCCAGTATTAGATTCTAATACTAAAGGAAGGTGGGTCCTGCTAGAGTTAGAGTAGTTGTACATTTTTTTGATGCCTAAAATATTAGAAAAAATATATAATGAGACTGTGTACTTTAGCATATGGTCACAATCATTGTTGGATGTAGAATTCAGTGGTTGTGGTTGTGCTAGTGACTATATTCTAATTTCAGTCAAACTTGTTTGAACTTTGTGTGACACTTTTAGTCCTCCAATTTCGTATCCAATTTTAACTTCCTTGTATATGAGTAATATACGGTCCTGCAAATTAATGGGTGCAATTTTGTAGGACCGTAGCTTAAAGATACTTGTTAAAGGCATACGTCAAACTTCCACTATTATTGAAATCTTTCATGATTGCTTTCTAACTAATTTTCAGCCTTCACTATGAAATTTGAAGCTATAAAATGATGCAGATTTAGCCGATCTATAAATACTTGAAATAGATGGCCTAAAAAACAGGTTATAAAATAAACTACTTTTATAACTTGAAGTCATTTTCTATCTATTATTGAGGTTTAGATGATTAATTGTAAATATGCTTTTATAGGGCCCCAATGTTGGAGTTGGTTGGGTGATATGGGGGCAGAAACTAGTACAATTTGTAAAAATAGGATCTCGAACTCTTTTTGTTTTTTGGTACACAATAGCGCTATTTCAAAACAATATTTGCGCCCCCCTTCCCTTCAATAGATTATTTGATGTACATAAGAATGGAAATTTATCATCGGGATACAGGAAAACGGATAGGTCTTTTTCAATGTTCCTAAGCTCTATGCATCCGACTTTAGAACCCACATAATAAACACCAGAGTCTTGATAGTTTAGAGAGAGAAAGAGATAAAATCGAGTAGAGAGAGAGAGATAGCCCATTGGTTCACTTGCTAGAATTGCAGAGAATTGTCTATTGAGAGAGGGTCAAAAAGTATCTCAAGTCTCTAAAATCGTATGGGTAGAAGGGCCCTTGTTATAGAGCACCAAGACTCATTTAGTATTATGATGGTTACATGCACCACCCAAGAGCTACAAGTTACATATGGTTACATGCACCCCGACAGCTACAAGTTACATCAACGAAGTGTGAAGTGCGCCATCAAGCGCCCTTGTGCCCTCGTACACGCACACAGACGTGTGCGAGAGAGTACCAAAATAAGATGAAATACAAGAAAGTTATCCCCATCTTGGAGAGAGTACCAAAAGAATATGAAATAAAAGAAAGTTATCCCCATCTTGGAGAGAGTACCAAAAGAAGATGAAATACAAGATAGTTGATCTTAATTTGGTCCAACTTCAAAGATATTTGTGAATCGAATAAGAGAATAGACTTAAGGAAAAGAAAGATGAATTAATTAATTCTCACAAACCGGTAGGAGGGCCCTTGTTATGGAACATCAAGAGGTTGCCCATTTAGTGTTGTGGTGGTTACATGCACCACCCAATAGCTACAAGTTACATGTGGTTACATGCACCCTAACATCTATAAGTTACATGAGCTACTTGCACTTGATGACAGCTATTATAAGCTTCTATCTCATCAACGGCTAGATGACCGATGGATGTCCCACACGCATCAACGGCTAGATCCATTTTATCAATGACTAGATGACCATTGGATGTCCCACACGTATCAGCGGCTAGATGACCGTTGGATCACCTATAAATCGCGCTCACAAAAAGATAATGAGCCACAAGCCTGACCAACCTGTACACATGGTCGTGCGAGGGGTGCCTCATGCATCAAAGTGTGCCATCAAGTGCCCTTGCCCTCACACAGGCACGTGCACGTCGCATGCTTTGCGTGCTCCACACATGTGCGTTCTCTCTCATTTGTACTTAGAGTATAATACATAGAAATGTATGCTATTAAATACAGCTCAAGATACTATCTCTTCTTCAATGTGACACTCAAACCCACATCTTTCTCTCTCTTTATAGAACATTTTAGGAAAGAACAAAAAAACCAAAATGATTGTTTTAATTTACTCTTAAGCATTTTACAAAAAAAAAAAACTGACACCCAACCCAATAAAATAGTACCCAAATTCTCCTCCTTTATAATAACTCTAATAGCCCTTAGACAATAAAGTTATCATGTTCACAATATATCATGGGAGAACAACCATAGAGGAAAAAATGTGTCTCTTGTCATTTTGAAAGTAGTTGAGATGCTCTCAATCTTCCACAAATGGCATGTTTGATGCTCTATTTTCGAAGGCTTTCTTTTCTTTTTATTTCAATGGCATTTTGTTGCAAATCACCCTTAGATTGATCATGATTTTCAGTCAAAGTTCGATAGGAGATAATGATGTGGCATAGTTTTTAGCCATGGTCTTTACACTATGCAGATTATATTATCATTATCAGCATTATCTCAGCCTTATCCTATCATATGTCCCTACAAAGATTATATGTATTCATATGTCCCTACATAGATTATATGTATATGTTGTATAGTATACATGTTCACACATCATATGTCATATGGATGATGGAGATGAGCCGTTTAATAGAGATAGTGGGTAGATGGCCTGTACACCTACTTGTATGCCATTGAGGGATGGAAAAAGGATTTGGTGAGCTGGTTGACTTATCATTTGTACCCTCTGATTTTTAAGGGTTTTATAACTCAAAATACATCTTTGAGCTCTAAAACGACTGGTTTAATGATATTTGAAGCGCTATTTTAAAACTTGGCGATTTCCGATTTGAATTGTTGATTTGGATTGGAATCGATCAAAGATCAAATTGATTTTGGGATAGTATGGGTCCCGGCCTAGTTCTTCCCTAAAACCCCTTTTATATATGCGAAAAGTTTACATAGAGCCGAGGCTGTAAACAATCAAATTTGAGCTTACATCAAAAATTTCATTAGAAGAGGTAGTTTTGATGCACAAATATCTTCAAATCGATCATCTCGACATTGATATGCATGGACATGAGAAAACAATGGATTTTAAGTTTTGGAAGTAGTGTGTTTTGTAACACATTTTTGGACCGTCAATTTTCAAGATTTTCAAGTTTTCATAAATCTGTCAATCTATACTATTTTTAAAACTTTAAACTTTATAAATAAATATGAAAATATATTTTAAGGCTATCACAAAGATTTCCAATATTAAAATCATATTTCTCG